GCACCCACTTTGCTTTGAGGATGGAAAAAGCATCAGGGAGACAAAGCGGAGGGAAAAAGAGAAGTTGGGAAGGGAAGGAGGGGACAGAGGGGAGCAGGGCCATGCAGGAGGAGAACAGGGCCATGCACTTTCTCCCCATGCAGCGCATGGGCTCTGGGCAGAGGCATCTGCCCCTTTCTCCCAGACAACAGCACTTGGCAGTGGCTTTGTGAAAGATAACGCCAGAGCTCATTTCCTCAGATTAGTGTCCCTAGAAACCATCATAAAGAATAGGATAATCCCGGCGCAAAGCCTGCTGGCGAGCATTTGGCGGTGCGTGGGGCGGCCTAGCGCTGCTGGCCGGCACGGCCCTCGGAGAGGGGCTCGTGTCGCGTCTCCCCACAGGGAAGCAGGAGCCTAGGGACCCATTGAAGTTGATGGTGTCGGCAGGGGACGGTGCTGCCTGAGCGTGGTTTGGGCATTTCGCCGAGGAGAGCGTCTCAAACACGCTGGCCGAGCCGTGCCCGTGCGGGGTCAAACTGCAGGCACGTGCCAGGGGGCTTATAGCGCGGTGACGGAGCAAACGGATGGGCTTGGTTGATCTGCAGGCTGCAATCCAGGCCTAGCTCTGCTAATCTGACCTCAAAGGGGGTCCTAAACCTGGGAGCAAGCGTGTAGCAGCACCCCAAGCTTCCTCTTGGTCTGCCTGAGGTTGAGGTCGGATGAGGGGGCAGCTGAGCTCCTGCTGCAGTTTGGGTTTCTTTCCTGTTGCTTTTTGATGAATTTTGCTCCTTCTTCCAACCCAATTCTTGCTCCTGCAGTCATTAGCCTAGATGGAATTGCTTCCCCCTGCCAGGAAGACTTATTTCTAGCAGGAGCTGGGCAGAATTACACTGCAGGTTGGTTTTCCTTCCAAAAAGAGCTTGCAGTAAGGGGAAAAGAGTGGAGGGAATATAGCTGCAACTGCAAATTCTTGTGTATGGCCCTGCCATAGGTACCCCACTCCCTTGCTGTCATTTGTTGCATGCATTTAGCAGGGAATTATATCTCATTCTTTTAAATCCTGCATAACTGAAGGGCCAAAGAGAACTCACAGGGCAGGTGCAGTTCAGTGTGAGGTACACAGGGTGGTTTTGGGGTGCTGTGCATTGAGGGAAGGGACATTCAACAGCGGCAAGCCCCCCATGTCGCGGCCACGAGGCGGTGCGTGTCGCGGCGTGCGAGGCCCGCGGCTGGCCGGACAGGGCCCAAATTTGATTTATTTTCATTTGCTTTCGGGGGCGTTTTGCTGGGGCGGCAGCTGCGCGGGCGCCCAGCGGCGCCGCAGGGGCCGGGCCCCCTCCCCCTGCCGCGCGCGCGG